GCACTGGCAGCCTGCCCTGGGCACCACTCCCTTCCGGCCAGCTCCGACCGCCCACTGGCAAGGTGCCTGCGTCAGGCCTCTGCCCACCAAGACCTCAAAGCCACACTGCCCACCGTGACAGACGAGAGGATTTAGCGGTTTCTCCACTTTGCCCTTGTGGAACCAGCTCCTATCTCCCTGCGGTTTTCACAATCAATACATCATACATTGTCAGCAGGCAAAACCCGCATTCCACAAAGAACTACGTCCACCTCGATGCAGAGCTGCACACATCGAGGGACGCGTGAAGCCTGGAGGACACAGGTGAAAGGATTATGGTCCCCCGACAAAAATCTTCCTTTAATGTGACATTTGTGGCAATAACCTGGAGGATGAGGGACATTTGGCATCCTAGCCCATTTGCCAGTACGGTCTTATCTTCCTCTCAGGCCTGGCTCACAGGTTGCATCTCAGCTCCTAGCCCAAAGCCCCTCAAGGACAGAACCCTTTCTCACTCCTCCCCAGATCCCTCTGGAGTAGGAAATATGAAAAGATACTCTGAAGCACTTCATATTTGTAGAAAGCCATCTTGGTGGCAAACCCTTGATTCTTCACTCTCAACTCTAAACCTTTCAGGAAACTGTCAGCCTTTCCCCACCCCATCAAGTGGGCCCAGGGAAGGGAGCCACGGACAGCACCAAGCAGCCAATGAATAGGGAGGCCTTGTGGAAAACAGTGAACCCACAGCCCTATTCTCATGCAAACAAGACTTTGGGTCCCATCCCTTTTGTCTCATGGTTAGATTGTCCCTCCTTCTGACATAACACTCTAGTCAGGCATCCGCAACCAAAGCAGAAAAATCCAGGTTCTGCGTACAAAAGTCCACACACTGGCTGTGGGACAGACGCCCCCAGTCCATCTCACACCGCCACTCAAGCAGGGCCCTGAATGACAGAAAACGCTTTTCTCCCAAGTGCTGGGCATGCTCCAACCAGGTCTCTGCAGAAGCACCTCTCACAGCTGGGAGGAGAAACAGTTCTTAAGAGAGCACGCATGGTGGCCCCTGAGCTGCCTAGTCCCAGGGGACTCTGGTCTCTGGTCATCCTTGCTGAAGGAGGCCAGGAGCCCTGCAGTCGGCCTGCAAAAGCAGCCTGGGTGGGGCATGGTTTGCTGCTAATCCACAGCCTTACCCCACAGGTGTGCGTGGGGTTGGGCCACACTGCAGAGCCACTGAGACTGGGACCAGAGACACTCCAATGGCAATGCCACCTCCCCTGGGAAGTTTTCCTACCCTGACTGCACAGCAGGGCCCTGCGACCCCAGGTGACCTCCTCTGGGCTGCTCATTACACAGGCCTTCACCCCACCCTATCCGCTGCCCCCTTGAAGGACAATGCATGCCCTGGACAGACTCCCCAGTGCTGCTCTGGGCTGGACCTGGAGACAAGAAGTTAACATTTGCAGAAAGATCATGATGCTATCAATGACAGCTGTGAGCACCAGTCCCCAAGGCTCAGAGGATCTGGTCACAGAAAACCTAGGAGCAAAGAGGAGTCAGGGCTGCATGTCAAGCCATTCCCTGGCTCCCAAGGGACAGGCTACTCCCAGGATCCCTGGACAGTGGGGGTGACAGTGATTCCAGACCTCCAACAGAGCTGCCCAGCTCTCCCAGGCCAACCTCAGGGAGAAGGGAAAGGTGACTACGTGGTGGAAGGTGTGGAGGGTGGGTATGGCGCAGCATGCCACATGTCATGTGCTCCTGCCCAGGGCTCCTGATTCATAACATGCATGGTCCCCAGGCAGGGGGAGACCTGTGACTCCCACCACACAGATGAAGGAAGAGGACCCAGAAAGTCCTCAAGCACCATCTATCCCTGGAAGACCTGTGGCCCTCTATAGTTCAGAGGAACCTGGACAAGCTCTTTGGGGACTCCAGGCCCCTTAAGTTGTGCAACTTCCCTGGGCCACGCCTCTGAGATCTTAGCAGGGCCCAAATCCTATGTTGCCTATGCCTAAGGCCATCCATTAACAAAAGCTGCCTGTATGAGTTCCCCTGTTGGGGAGATTGCCTGGCAGGCATGGTCCACCCCCCAACTCCTTCCACAAATCTCAGGCAACAGAGATGCCAGACAAGACACCCAGCCCCGCCCCACCCTCTTCCAGAGCAGACATTATCCATCGATCATCGAATGAGGCCATCTCTTCACTACTGGGATCATGACTGACAGCTTCTCTCAACAAAGAGGCAGGAAAGTGACAGGAAGGCTTAGAAAGCTGACCTTCCCGAGCAACCACATGTAAGCATCCCTCTCCAGTGTGGTGTGTGAGGCTTGGGAGCCCTCCTCCTCCAGGAGTGGGCAGGGGCCTGGACAGGCTGGGGTGGGACACCAGGATCTCATTTCACAGGGAAACTCTACTTTGTAGAACCTACACTGCCAGCTACTTTGGGTGACTGCACATTGGTGACTGCCCTGTTTTCCCATCTGTGAAATGAGAGGAATAATGCAACCTGGTTAGGCTGTTCCCCCAACCACCAAGACTATCCACAACCCACTGTGAGCCTGCTCAGTCCAAACCCTGGTACGGCCAAATCCCTCACAGGGCAACTCACCGAGAAGTCCTCTACCTAGGTCCAACCTCTCCCATACCACCTGCCCAGCCGAGGGCAACCACAAGGTCCCCCAAGTGACCACGGAGCCGGCCTTCCAAGATACCCTCTTTCTAATGCACCATCATGCATGGGTGCTGTGTGTCTCCCTACCCACTTGGTCCTACAGTGAGAGCTTCAGAAGGTAGGGACCGTGTCTGTGCTACTCTCTGCCAGGTGCCTGGGAATGTGAGGAACACAGCAGGTGCTCAAGAGATGAATGAATGAATGACTGAATGAAGGTGGCCCAGTCCAGCTAACTTCTCGGGAAGCTGCCAGTTCTGAGCAGCTGGGAGTCCTTACTTTAAGAAAACCAAGGAGCCTGGACCACCCAGTCCCCACTTCTCAAATGGAGGCACGTCTCCTTCTCCCAACTTGGGAAAATAGGCCCTCTACCAGGGGAGTCTCCCGCTGTCCACTGCAGTAGCCAGCACAGCTAATAGCCTCTTTGGTGAGGCAGCCAAGTGGCCCAGGTTTTAAGATGCTCCATCTACTGGGTATGGTGGCCCATGCCCGCAATCCCAGCTACTCAGGAGGCAGAAGCAGAAGAGTTGAGGCCAGTTCAGGCAAAGATAGCAAAAGCCTATCTCAAAACTAAAATATAACTAAAAGAGCCGGGGGTGGGGCAGGCATAGATACACACACCTGTAATCCCGACTATGCAAGGGATAGAGCTGGGAGGATCAAGGTTTGAGGCCAGCCTGGATGAAAAAAAAAGTTTGTGAGACTTCATGTCAATATACAAGTCAGGCTTTGCTGGTACACGCCTGTAATCCCAGCTACACGTACAGAAGGCAGAAATAGGAAGATCACTATCTAAGGCTGGACCTGGAGAAAAAAATATGAGACCCTATCTGAAAAGTAAACTAAAGCAGAAAGGGCAGGGGGACGGTACTGAATTCAAACCTACCAAACAACACAACGACAAAGAAAAATGCTCTGTCCTGGGAAAGAAAAGGAGCCAATCCAGACCTGGAAGATCTACCCAGACAGGCACCACCCAGCCTGCAGCCACTGCTCACCAATAAGGACCACAGCCACTACGAGCAGAGGGACCAGGAAAGCCCGTGGGTCAGGGCTCTGAGTGCTTGGGCAGCAGCGCAGGCTGAGGGAGGAGATCCCTCCATCCACTAGGTACTTCTAGCAGCTGCTCAGAGACCTGCCCCGCAGCCATGCTGTGTTGGAAACCACTCCTTCCCCACATGAGACAATGGTGTGGGAAGCAGACCTTGTCCCCAGAACAAAGCAGGGAGACTGGTCACTGTGATGGCTGCTTTCCTGATGTCTCCTAGTGACCCCCTCATGGGACAAGCTCTAGAGTTAGCCCCAGAGGCCAGACCAGCCCACCAGGCCCTGACAGCCCTGAGGCCGGCTGCCTCCCAGACAAGCATCGTTTTTGGAAGAGCCCACCTCCGCCTGCCAGCCAGCAAGGAAAGTCCTTGAAAGTCCACAGAAGGGAATGACACCTTGCTACGGTAAGTGACAAGCCCTGAAGCTGCGGGTGCCTAGGAACCGAGGTGAGAGCCTGAAAGGTGGCAGAGCATCGGAAGCAATGACAACCGTGCAGTCACGTGGAGGCAGTGACTCAGCCCCTGCATCCAAAAGAAAATTCCCACTAGGGACATTGTCCCTGCCTGTGTCTCCACAGGGACATTATTTTGACAGGAAGACTCCGTGGGAATGAGCGGCAAGGGTCAAAGCGAGTGACAAGTCCCTATGGACAGGGAAGAATGAGCATGAAGAAGTAGGAAAGTGGCCAGGCATGGTGGCTATGCAGGAGGTGGAAATCAGAAGGATCAAGATTCAAGGCCAACCCAGACAAATGGTTCTCAAGACCACGTCTCAACTAATAAAAGCTGAGTGTGGTGGTGTACACCTGTCATCCCAACCATGCAAAGCGTGAGTAGGAGGATCGAGGTCCAGATCAAGCCTGGGCATAAAAGTGAGACCCTATTTGAAAACTAAAGCAAAAGGGCTAGCAGTGTGGCTCAAGTGGTAGAGCACCTGCCTAGCAAGTGCAAGGTCCTGAGTTCAAACCCCAGTACTATCAAAAAAAAGGAGAAGAAGAAGTAGGAAATCAGATGACGGACCACACTGCAGGGTCCCCGATGCTGCAGGGACCATGTGCATCCAAACAGATGAGGAAAAGGTGCAAATAAGGACAGTGAGTCTGGGGGACGGGGGCCTCCTGCTTCCCAGTGTCCTCCCTGCTACTGTCCCTCTTTCAACAAACAGTTTTTGGTTAAAAGCTCATGACAGCGAGCTTTTAGCTTGTGATTACCACGTGCTGACAGTGTGCTTGGCACTTTGGTGGAATTACAATGTCATTTTATAGAGGCAAACCAACAGAGCTGGCCCATGCCTGAGCTCATCACCTGTTAGCACAGAGCCCAGAGCTGAGCACAAATCCCAGCCATACGCTGCCGAACCCTCCCAGCACAGAGCCAGCAATGCTCAGAGCCTTCGCTATAGGGAGCAGATGATCACAACGAGCTCCATACTTCCGTTGGGGCAGCCAAGCTGGTGGCAGCCCACTCCTGCCAGACCAGGCCCCCCCTGCCCCTGCTGGTGCTCAGCCTCACCTGCTTTACACGTCCTGCCGTTGTCCTGGAGCTGCACGCCAGTAGGGCAAGCACATGTGTAGAAAGGCTCCCTTGGGGACAGCAGGCACAGGTGAGAGCAGCCACCATTGTCCTCCTCACATCGAGTGTGGACTAGGAAAAACAGAACAGAGTGACAGGAAGTTTCAGACCAGGGCACATGACCCCCACCTCTGCCCTGCCATTCATTTCCAAACGAACTAGCATGCTCCATGCTGTCACGTCCTCATCTGCCCCCCATGATGGCCCCCAGTGTATCCCCCCACCCCAACGCCACCTGATCGTGACCTCAGGACCCTTCCCATAGGCACTGCCTGGTCCCCCCTCATTGCCTACCACAGACCACATTGGGGGTCATGTGCTGTCCCACTAGATTGGGTATCTTCCCCATTCTGAGCTCCTCCAACAAGAAAACCTTCCTGTTCTTCAGTACCCTCCCCTATGATGGTCACCCTCTCTGCTTCTGTGGCAGATCACAGGACTTGCCCCTGTGGGACCCAGAAGACAGCAATCACCTGAACATACAGCCCACCTTGTCTCTCCAAGCTTCCCAGATCCTGCAGGCTCCACCCACACTGGGTGACCACACTCAGGCTTAAGCTGAGCCTCAAGGTAGGAGTGGCCACACTGGACACTTCCCTTGGCCTTTCTATGACCAATTAGCAACTGAACATGACAAAGTCTTTAGGCCTGGGGGAAGTGGGGCTCAGCACCCTTGAAAATCTTAACTCGGACAACAGACTCTTGGCAATGAACCTCCATCCCCCTTATGCTGGCTGAGGTACGTGGGCAGCCAGATTCAAGGACTATGGTGCTCTCATCAGAAAACAAACCTCCCCTGTCCTGCACTGAGAACAGAGCCCAAACTCAAGTTCCAAGTTCAAGCCTTCTACAGTGGCTTGACCAAAAATATCTATCCCTGGTTCCTGCGGGACTGGAGTAAGCTCAGGGCGCTGGCCCTGCTGGTCACTTGTCACAGAGGTCCATTTATCAGCAGCATGAACTTCTGGGGATTCTAGACTTATGAACCATCAACTCAGAGCAGGTGTTTCATTCGATACTCTGCTGGGCCTCTAAGATGGGCTCGTCCTTGGGAAGCAGCCCGATGGGCTTAGCAGAGAGCCCTGTGCCCCACCCCTGCCTTCCTGGCTCTGCACACACCTCTCTCCAGCCCAGCAAGCACCGCTCCCCACCCATGGGTTTCTGTAGGAAGAGGCCGGCCTGGCGTGAGGCCTCAGCCAGCATCTCTCCAGTGGAGTGCGGCCCGTCCCCCTGCCCTGCCCCATCCCGCCCAGCACTCACAGGGAGGCTGCCGCTCCTGGCTGAGCACCTGGATGTCCATGGGTGAGTAGAGGGCACTCAGGATCTCCTTCCTCTTCTCACCGGTCCTCTTGTTACAGGCATGGATGGAGCGGGTCTGCCAGTCCGTCCAGTACAGAGTGTCCCCAGACAGCGTCAGGGCAAAGGGGTGTGTCAGGCTGCCCTCTACCACCTTCTGCCTGCAGTGGGAGGCAGAGGACAGAGCCTTCAGGAAAGTACAGAGGACTCCAGACTACCAAGACCAGCTCTGTCCTGCTTTGGGAACCCTCTGTGGCCACCGTGGACTGTATAGGTCCAACCAGACAAGAGCAGCTGTGAGCAGAATGTTCTTGTCATATGGAGCCCACCATTTATATTTTCGGAGTGAATTAAACTTGGCAACAAGAGAAAAAGTGGGTTGGGGGAGGGGCTCAAGTGGTGGAGCACCTGCCTAGCAAGCATGAGACTGTGAGTTCAAACCCCAGCACTGAAAAGAAAACAACAAAAGGAAAATTCATTTTCTGCATGCTTAGAACGTCCAGCAAAGGAGAAGTGATGTTTAACAAGAGTATGGTCACTGCAACATGGTCGTAGTTTGACACAGCCAGTAATAGGTGGCTATTTATTTGACGACCGTCCCCTCCCTGCATGATGGGCTCTGACCAGCCATGTGGTTTGGGTGAGCGCATGTGCCTCCCTGAACACCACCAAGACAGAGAATGATAACAGCAAAGGCCTCACAGGGCTGGTGAGTGTTAAATAACTGCAAATGTCCCTGGACAGAGGGCACTGTGGAAGGGTCAGCTGCCATTCCCACCCTCGTGGATTAACCACCATCATCCCACCACGAGCTCTCACCTGGCTGGCAGCCTTTCCAGCCTCTGACCCTCCTTCAGAACTACCAGGACCACTTGCTCCAAGACCCCGGTCTCCAGGCTGGCCATGTTTCCAACTCTCAGACCAGTCTGGCCAGTTCAGCTGCCCTGATTCGAGGCAGCAGAGGTAAGTGGCTCGGCATAAGAGAGGCCCAGGGGAAATCAAGGCCCAGGGCACTGGACCAGGATTGGAATGGGCCCCTTCAGCCTCAGTACTGAAGCCCCAGCCAGAAGCTTGACCGTAAGCACAGGAGACACCCTGAGCCAGACCTGCCTGGTGAAGCCGCTCCTGCCCACTCACCCTTCTCCACAAAAACAAACAAACAATCAAAAACCAACCATTGGCCATTGCAGGCTGTAAAGCTTTGGGTATTTTGTTATATACAACAGACACTGAATACACAAGGTCCGAGTACCATACAGCAGATCTGCCAGTGTCCCCAAGCAGGCCCGGCCTGTGTTGCCGAGACCCAGCTAGGGAGCCCCTCCAGGAGATGTCATCACAGCCCTCGGCACCAGCACCCACCACACGCCACCCAGGCCAGGAGCTGCAGCAGGCCGGAAATAGGGCCTTCTCCCCTGCAAGACCTGGCACAGGGCAGTGTTGAGTCAATGAGGAAATGGTCTTTCTCCTGTTCGCAGAAGTTGTACCTCCATCTAAACAGTAATGAGGCCAGGGCTGCTGAGCTGAAAGCCCACTCCCCCATCCACTCAGCCCATCACACTGAGAGCCCTTGCCCTACTATGTGCAAGGCCCTCAGTGGGACTAGGGATGCAGGGAGATGAAGCCAGCCCCTGCGACTGCCCTCAGGATGTACGGTGTGGCCGAGCAGGCAGGGGTGTATGTGGCAATGTGAACCAGCTATGTTGTCTGGCTTGTCTGCTTTGGAATGAGCATTCTGAATTTTGCTACAGAAATAGTCACATGCTAGATGCAAGAGGCCACCCCACCTTGCTCAGGGTGACACCTGTACTCTATTCCTGCTCTAAGTTTTGAAAAGTCCTGAATTCCTCAGGTCCCCAGGGTTTCAGGTAAGAGCCAGGGGAGCTACATGAAAAAGGATTGCCTTCGACTCCCTTGGGGGACCGTGGGGGGCCGTGGGGACTCACCGGAAGGAACCATCCAGGTTGGCTCGGTGGATGAAGCTGAGTTTGGCATCAGCCCAGTAAAGCTTCTGCTCCTCCAGGTCGATGGTCAGCCCATTGGGCCAGTAGATGTCCGCGTCCACGATGATCTTCCGGGTGCTGCCGTCCATCCCCGCACGTTCAATCCGGGGCGTCTCGCCCCAGTCTGTCCAGTACATGTACCTAACAAGGTGGTAAAGACAAGGGGACAGGGAGCTGTGTTTTGATTTGGGGCCCTCAAAGCTCAAAGAGAACCAACGTTTTTCTTTTCTTTTTTTTTCTTTTTTTTGAGATGGAGGCTCAGTATATAGCCCGGGCTGGCCTTGAGTTCACAATCCTCCCAAGCACTAAGCTTACAGACATGTGCCACTGTGCCCAGCTCAAGATAACCAACGTCTAAGGTTTGGGGGAGTAGTGCTTTAAGTTGGGGTGTCAAAATAGTATAATGTGTTGCTTAAAGACAGAAATTCAACGTGTGTGTGTGTCTGTATATGTGTCTGTCTGTCTGTGTGACTTGAGGACTGAGCTCAGGGCCTCACACATGCGAGGCAACTAAGCTACATCCCCATTCCTTTTTAATTTATTATTATTTTTTTGACATAAGACTTCACTACATTGTCTAGCCTGGTCCTGGGATCAGGACCTTCTACCTCTGCCCCTTGAGTAGCAGGTGTGTACCATCAAGCATGGCCAGGAATACATTCCTGAGGACATAAAATGCATTCTAAGAATGATGAGAAATGGATTGTTAGGCAATGGCAGAGAGAGTGGAGGCACACAGACTATGCTGGCTATGACAACGTCACTGGCCAGCTACATAATCTACCCATGGGCATCAGTGACCGAGATCTCCTTACACAGCTGTAACTGTGTACACTTCCGTCTTGTTCTCAGTCAACAGTATGTCTGGACCCCTTCCCCTTTCATTAACAGAAACATTTCTTGCTCTTTTAACCGTGGCATAGTAAACTACTCTGTAAATTACTTTAAAAGCTCTGTTTGATGTTTGGATTATTTCTGATTTTTTGCTACTTGCAAATGCTGTAAATGAACCTCTAAAAGGCGATTCAAAATGTGCAGAATGGACTCTAGTTGGTGCTAACATGGAATGAGTTGCCAGGCCAAGAAAAGATACAGAGCAGCCTTAAATGCACATTGGTGAGTGAAAGAAGCAAGGCCACACACGACATGATACCAACCCGGGTTCAGCAAAAGGTGAAACACAGAAACAGCACAAAGGTCAGTGGCTGCCATGGGTCAGGGGATGGGAGAGACAAAAAGATGGAGCACAGGTAGCTCAGGCAGCAAACCTCTCTATGTGAGGCCAGGATAGTGGACCCAGGACATCGGACATTATCCCAACCCACGGAGCCTAACACCAGCACCCACAGTCTGGTAGTAACAGCCATCAGTGTGGACTCACCACCCGCAGCAGATGTGTCACTCTGGGAGGGGCCCGGGGTACCAGGGGAGTCTGTGTACCTTCTGGTCAATTTTCCTATGCACCTAAAACTGCTCTAGAAAATATTCTTAAACAGAAGAAACCAGTCAGGCACCGGTGACTCACATCTCTGCTACTCAGGAGGCAGAGATCAAGAGAATCAATGTTCAAGGCCAGCCTGGGCAAACATTGACCACCCTATCTCAAAAAACCCAACACAAAAAACAGCTGGCAGAGTGGCTCAAGTGGCAAGAGTGCCTGCCTAGCAAGCGTGAGGTCCTGAGTTCAAATCCCAGTACTGCCCTCCCCCAAAAAAGACACAAGATAGGATGTGCACGGAGGTGACAACAGCTTTTCCTAGTGGGTGGGCTGGCTGTACTGACCCGTGTCCTCACACTTCCAACAAGGGGCAGGTACCACACATTCATGAGAACCATGACGTCCTTAAAGGCTTCCTTGTTTGTTCTCCCTCCAGTGACCCCAGACTGAGTAGGCAGACACAATGTACATCAACACCAGTGTCCGGGATGACAGGTCCCAACCCAGTCAGCGCCCAGGGAACGTTACTGCAGCTAACGTAGAGGCTACACGTGGCTCCACAGCAGAGCTCATGGGGGATCTAGTTTAATCTGGGGAATACAAGGTTCTCGTCCCAAGAGGCTGTGGACAAGTCAACAATGGCAGACAGATTTGTTCAGTCTACCCTCTCAGCAGGGAGGGGACAGCACTGATCATCCCTGACGAGCCTCGTCCCACTCCCAGTCTTGGCAAGATAGATCCCAGTTCTGAGGGCCGACGTCTCTTCCTCTCCAGTCCCCATCCTGGTGCCTGGCAAGTCTCCCCTGTTTAGCTTCTATTTCATCACAGGTAAAAACCTCATTCACCTCAGTAAACCCAGAGCTGACTTCAGGAACCAAGGTGGCCCCCGGGACACAGGAACAAGCCATGCCCCTTAGGGGTCTCTCAGAGCAAGAGGGAAAATGAGACGTACACAGCTGACTCCTCCCACTCACCATTGTCACCATGGGTGCTCTGTGCACAGGAGCTTTGGACACCCCTGCCCTAGCCACAGGCTTCCCAGCAGGGGTCATATGAGAGCCAGGACTATCACTCCCTTCCAAAGGGGCTGTGACAAGATTGGTCCCCTCCTCCCTACACAGAGGCCGGGCCAATTGCCCCTGCCTGTCACCGAGCGCCTTCTTCTCCAGCTCCACTGAGGACAGAAGACAGCACACTTCACAGGCTACCTCTCCCAACAGTGTCTCCTATGCCACCTTCCTTGTGTGTAGTGAACACAGCACTGCAGGGAAAGCCAGAATTGTTGTTACCATTAGATGGGGAAACTGAGGCTCCAGAAAGCTGACCTGTCCTGGGTAGTATGAGCAGAGTAGCAGTCCCAGAGCACAGCCTGGTTCTCTGGTAAAGGACAAGCCAGGCTGGCCACCTTATGACTCACTCTTCCCCAGCAGAAGCAGGGTGAGGGGGCTTTTCCTGCTGCCACTGGCCACACAGGCAATCAATGACTAGGGCAGAGGCCTTTCTTCCCCTGGCTTCTCCCATCCGCAGTGGCCTCGCACCTGCTGAGAAGGTATCAGGAGAACCATCTCAGCCAATCCCCTCAGGCCCTCCACAGCTCTACTGAGGCCCAGTGAAAAGGCTCGGGGCCCTCTGCCTGGAGATAGCTCACATTCCTTCCAGAGTTTCCCAACAGAGGCTGCTGCCTTCCTTAAATGGGGAATTTGCGGTCGGCTGGTGAGCAGCTCCGCCCTCCTGTTCTCTTAGTGTGGACTGGCCAAGCACAGTCTGTGAGGCCACCGCAGGGCAGGCCAACTAGGCTCCACAAGCAAAACTCACCCTCCGAAGTGTGGCAGGGCTGTACGAGGCACTGCGTGTGGCTGTGCAGGGCCACAGGTACTTTCAAGAGTAGGTGACGTTCACCCTGGCCTTAGTTGGAGACTAGCAGCACTGCAGCCCCCATAAGGGTGGTACAGCCAGGTCTCCCCAAGCTGGGCTGGGTTCCTCCTGACCCCAGATGCTCAGGAACCAGGGTTCTTCCTAGAGCACACCCTGCTGCATGTGGGCATCCTTCACCCCTTCCACCCCCCCCACCCCCGCAGTCTGCACACCTGTATGGCCCACCTGTGCTGCCCAAGCCGAGTCTCAGGTTTCCCGGCCATGCGGCCCTGGCTATGTACTATGTGCATGCCTAGGGGACACCAGGATGGAAAACCTGCCTTTCCTGATCATGGCAAGGGCAGGGAGCCTTGCATCCAAGAAAAACCCCCACAGGGGACAGTCACACAGGAGGGCACAGAGAGAGCAGGGCCCCCACAGGGCTGGGAGGAATGCTGCACCCACAGCTTCATTCATCAGGTGCAGTATTAGGACAGAAGGTATACAGGTGGCCATGGCCTCAAGGGTCCTGCCTAGGGCAGCAATGCCAAAGTCAACCTGGCCCCAGGGGCAGACAAGGAAGGGGCAGTCACAGATGCGATCCAGGGGAGAGCTTTGGGAGAGAGCTCAAAGGCCAGAGCATAAATGAACTCAAATATTTACTGAGGACAGTCAGAACCAAAGTGACTAACTAGCTCCCAGACACAGCCAGGCAAAGCCAAACCAGACATGAGCATGGGGAAGACATTCCCAACCAAGCACCTCTCAACCAAGCACTAAGTACCTCCCAAACAAGTGCCAACCATCTCTCAACCAAGCAACAAGTGCTTCTCAATGGAGCCCAGCCACCTCCCAACCACCACAGCACGAGGCCATGAAGAAGCAAACTCAGAGAACCACATAGATACAGAAGCAGTGCTTTGTGTGACAAGAAAGGGCATTTAAAAAAAAAA